CTTCTAAAACAAAGTTCTGTAAGCAGCAGGTGCTTACAGAGAAGCCCACTATGCCGTGTAAATTCTGACCTTGTGAAACATCCGTCTACTTCGCAGGGTAGAGGTCCTCAGACCTCCAGTCCCCCAGGGCCCCAGCCTAAATTGCCCACCCTGGTCGGGCCTTTATGCACATGGCATTCTCGGACCATGCACATGGCATTCTCCATATTCCATTTAGTTCAGCCAAACTATGTTTCAGCATTAGCTGTGGTCCCTTTGTAGCTGTGATAAAGTTCTCCAAATCCCAATAAGCCCCCAACCACCTGGGGAGACACTGTACTTCATCCTATAATGATGTGAAGCCAGTGACCAGTTTAAACAGGCGGGTGATAAGACAGAAACCATAAAATATATAGAAGGAAATATAAGCGAAACACTACATGACATACACCTCAGTAACATCTTTAAAGGCACATTACCCAAAGCAGTGATAGTGAAGGCAAAGATAACAGCTGGGACTACATCAAATTAAAGAGACTGTACAGCAAAAGAGACTGTAACCAAAACAGAGAGACACCCTACCGACTGGGAAAAAATTTGTGCACACAACACTAATGATAAAGGACTGATCACAAAAATCTACAAAGAGCTGATGAGACTCAACAAAAACAAAGTAAAGAACCCAGTGAAAAAATGGGCAGAAGAGCTAAAAAGAAACTTCTCCAAAGAGAAAATGCAAATGGCCAACAAGCATATGAAAAAATGTTCAACATCATTTGTAACCAGGGAAATTCAAATCAAAACCACAATGAGATACCATCTTACACCAGAGAAAATGGCACATATTAAAAAAACTAGCAACAACAAATGTTGGTGAGGATGTGGAGAAAAAGGAACTCTCCTGCACTGCTAGTGGGAGTGCAAACTGGTCCAACCACTATGGAAAGTTGTGTGGAGATTCCTCAACCTGCTAAAGATGCTTCCATATGATCCAGCAATTCCACTCCTAGGTATGTACCCAAAGGACACAGAAACATCCATTCCAAAGAACACCTGCACCCCTATGTTTATAGCAGCACTATTTACAATAGCTTAGCTATTGTAAATGAAAACAACCCAAATGCCCAAAATTGATGACTGGATCAAGAAGATGCAGTACATATACACCATGGAATATTACTCAGCAATCAAAAAAAGATAAACTCATGCAATTTGCAGCAACCTGGATGGAGCTGGAAGGGATCATGCTCAGCAAAATAAGCCAGAAAAAAAAAAAAGAAAAATACTGGATGGGATCACTCATAGGAGGAATTTAGAAAACCTAAATAAAGAACCAGGAAAAAACCTAATTCTAATAAAGTAAAAATCAAAATCAGCAAGCAACTATAAACCAGAGACACACTGTGGGGCGGGGGGAGGGAGTAGGATAAAAACAAGGTGGGTGGGAATTGTATGGAAACTATGACCAAGATGAAAATGCATACATTGTGCAAAAATGAAAAATGATGTAAAAAAATGTATAAAATAAAATTAAAAAAAAAAGATCAGATTTGCATTTTACAAAGTTCACCTTAGTACCGACACAAGGATAGATGGAGGGCTAGGGGGGCACTGGGACTGGAGAGAGGGGACCAATCAGAAGATTTTCAAGTGGTCGCAGAAATGAGAGGGGTCACAAATGACAAAAGTTCTGGGTCTTGAATGAATGGGCCCAGCATGATGCTATGAAGCTTGAAAGAGGGGTATTTGTAACATTATTTTTCCAGGGAGGAAATGGACTCAGAGACACTAAGTAACTAGCAAAGGTCACACAGCAAATAAATGACACCCCTGAGATTTGAGCAGGTTACATCTCTCCCACTACACCAGGCTAGCAGGATGCCTGCTCCTGCCTAGGATAAATCATTGAATGGGGGCAACAGAGAGATAATTGAGGCTGACTGGCTTCCGGTTAAAGTAGTGGAGTTAATGGTGAGACCATTAGCTGAAACAGCAAATAGAGGAGGGAGGTCAGGGTTGAAGGGAATCAGTAGACATGATGAGTTTAGATTTTTATATATGACATTGTAATTGACTGTCCAACAATCACTCAGCCTTCTGTGACCATCTGTCACAGAAATGCAATCTGGAACTCACTCCAGATCCAGGGTGGGCCCTGGATAAAACCCAATCACGGTACGCTCATCCCAGCACACTCCCTCTTGCCAATGACTGGTGCGGAACTTAAGTCTAAGTCAACGAGGACATAGCCTTTCCCTGTGACTTTAATGTGTAGAAGTCTTAAGTTGACCCACTTCGAACCAAAGGAAAGAAGCTTTCTTCAACAGTTTTGGGAGAGGGACTCTCTCCCAATGAAAACAAGGAAAATGCCATTCTGATTACTACTCATAATTATACTTTAAGAAAGCTGAAAAATAACCTTGAAGGCACAAAAAGAAAAAAAAGTAATACTGAGAAAAGAAATGGGTAATCTTAGGAACCCCTGAAGACGTTCAAACTCTTCAATCATAACACTTGGGTTGCTGCGCCTTTGCCCACTCAGCACACAGCCCTGCAGTTCAGTTAATGCTGCATGACCTGCTGGCTGTGTCCGATTCTCTCCCCACCCGGCTTCCAGGGCCGTCAGCTTAGCTTTGGGAAAGTATACCAGGGCAAGGCAGAAAGGGGGAACATCACCTTCAGGTGCCCTGCATTCTGTACATCACGATTCCCTTCTTCACTTTTAAGCTCTCCTTAACTACTGACTCCTCAAAATTATTTCCCTTGGCCTGGCCTCCTCTTAAAGCTATTCCTCTGTTTCTCTCCTTCCCTTCACCACCAAGCACCAACTTGCTCCCAAACCTGCTACAACCTGGCATCTGTCTCATCATTCAGCTGAAACTGTCACTGAGATCATTAAATTTAATGGTTTTTCTGGTCCTCTCCTCCTCCACCTGGCTGGATCTCATTAGACACAATTGACCACCCCTTCTTGAAACCCTGCCTCTCGCGGCTGCTGTGATGTGCCACCCCACACGCCTGCTCTCCACCTGCTCCCTCCCTCTCCATCTCCTAGTCCTGCTCTGTGTCTATCCGTGACTATTCAAAAGACAGACAGAGGCAAAAACCACTCCTAGGCAGGAACTGGCAGCCTGCTAGCCTGGTGCAGTGGGAGAGATGTAACCTGCTCAAATCTCAGGGTTGTCATTTATTTGCTGTGTGACCTTTGCTAGCTACTTAGTGTCTCTGAGTACATTTCCTCTCTGGAAAAACAAGGTTAAAAATACCCCCCTTTCAAGCGTCATAGCATCATGCTGGGCCACTGCTTCAAAAACCCCCCAAATCTCAAAGGCCCAACAAAATGATATTACAGTGAAGATAACAGGGACCAGGACCTGCTACATAAGATTATACCTGGGGCCTCCCCTGGTGGCGCAGCAGTTGAGCGCTGGGCTGCGAAGCTGCCCACAGCCTCTGCAGCGCTGGTTCGATCCCCGGCCACCGGCGAGAGTCCCACATGGCAACAGACCTGTCCTGCCACCCATTGCTCCCCTCAGCAGTGTACTTCGTCAGTCTGCCTGTTCTGTTCCCCGCTCTGGCTCTGGTGAATTCTCTCACCCTCCCACGCTTCTGACTGTACCCAGTGCTTGTATAAATAAATAAATAAATCTTAAAAAAAAAAAAAAATTATACAGGAATTCAGTGCAGTGGCTACACCCTGCCCTACATCTCCAAGCCCTCCACTGGATTTTCAGCTTCAGCAGACCACAAGAAAAAGAGTAACACGTGTGTATTGAAGATTCTGCACAATTTTTAGGGGACAGACAGGAAAGTGGCAGATAGCACTCCTACCACAGTCCATTGGTCAGAACTCAGTCATGTGACATCAGTGGCTAGCAAGGGATGCTGGGAAATGTAGTTCCAGGAGAAAGGATTAGGGGCTTGATGGATACATAGTCTCCTCTCCATCAGAGTGTTAAGGCGAAGATGGGGATAATCAAAGCAAATCCTGTGATCTTTCTGGAATATAGGTGCTATGTGAATAAAAGTCATATTTTTAATATTTGCCAACTTTCCCAAATGTTTAAATTTGTGCAAAGTCTGAGATCAATAAGGAGATTGGAGAACAAACAGAGATTAAGAGAGAAACAAATGTTATGTATGGAAATGTAAGAGAAGGCTAGATTCTGGGTGCAGGGGTAGGAGTAGGAGCAGGCAGAGTATGGACAAGGGATTCCTGGAGACAGGGGAACCCAGTGGCGCTAACCACAACCCCTGATTTCCTGGCCAGTCCTGGCTTCCACCTGAGCCAGAAGGGCCTTAGAAAGGTCTGGGTTTCCTTGGAAACCATTTTTCTGGCCCTCTCTGCATGTTATCAGCCAAGTTGGTTGTAATCAAACCCCCACGGGGCAGAGAATGAGCTCTCAAACTGCCATCCTGGGGTTCCATCCAAATTGCTTGCATTTCCTATTTAAATTGGTAATTTCCCACGCATGGTCCCCCTGCCCAGCCTGAGATTTGTTGGGAAGAGGAAGCACTGGACATGGCCCTAGACACAGCCCAGAGCCCTCGGGAGTGCCTCCAGTCAGGTCTGAGTCCTCCCCCCAGCCTCGGGAACAGACACGCCAGGCCAGGACCCCTGTCTTAGACCCTTTTGACCCACAGAGAGGGCAGCCTGGGCATCAGCAGGAAAGAAGGCCCCACATGGGCCATAGTGGGAGATACCAGAATGGTGGGCGCTGTTGTCCACACTGAATTTGTGGAGAAATGACAATTGTGCCTTTTCCAGGTACACACTTTCTAAGGGGAAAGGATGGGACTGTACTAGGGCACCAAATAATGACCAAGTGCTAAGAGTCAAAGCCACAGGATGAGGGGGCAGCTGGGGAAGTTCCAGCGCATTAAACAGAAATTCCAGGAGACTCTGAGGCCTCGTACTTCTACCTGAGTCACAAGCCAGCCCAGTCCGCAGCAGGACTACAGAAGGAAGACTGGATCTCTGTCCATTCTCCTTTCAAAATGCGCAGAGAGCCAGTCTCAGACCAGGACAAACACACACAGAAGCAAGTTTAGAGAGCCACATGTACACACATGTGTACGCATGCATACCCACACGGGAGAGATCTGGACATGTGTGTACATAGACTGTACCTGTGTCCTTAAATGTCATACATGCTGACCCCCCTCCAAGCACAGCAGGCAAGTTCAAGTTCATGGTAGACATGGGATCAGGCTGCAGTGCATGTGTCGGCCTCAACAAATCTCCATGCCTGCCAACATGGTCCGCACAGTCACTGACCCCCAAGTGCATTCAGACACGCCTGTTTGGGCTAGGGAAGGGAGAACTGGGCTGGCAGATGGTGCCTGTTTGCAGGTGGCTAGGCAGGAGGCAACCTAGATTCCAAATTACTGGACAGATCCAAGGACATGTAGCCAAAGTGAGCCTAATCAGAAGCAGAGAGTCTAGTCTGGACATGAGTGTGAGGCGGGGTGTGGGGCCCCAGGGTGGATGGGGCACAGCCTTCCTGGGGGAAGCAGTTTCCAGGCTACAGTGGGGATCAGGAACCAGCACTACTTCCCCTGTCTGAAGCAGCCTTCCTTCCTTCCCCTGGGCTAGCTGCACCATATCACCTTATGATTACCTATTCGTGCTGAGATATCAGCTTGCTCCCAAGGGAGAAGCTAGTGTCAGCACCTTCTCCCAGTGGAAAATGAGTAAAACCAGCAGGGGTCTGGGAAGCCACCATGAGGGGAGCGACTGGCTTGTAGGCTCTGAGAGTCCCCAGTTCTCACATCTGTGCCACATCTGCCCACTGCCATACTGGGCTGCCCACTCAGAGCCAGGCTGGGTCAGGGTGAGCTTAGGGATGCAGTGGGCAGGGACGCAGTGTCACAGCTGAGGAGACCTGGGGAAGACAGACCCAGCTTCTGAACCTGGGCTGCTATCGCCTCTGCTGCCCAGAGGACAACTGCAAGACTCGCCTCCACTTCCAGGACCACCCAGCGCTAGACCTGGGTTTGTCCTCCACTGCAAGGAAGCTGGGAGCTGAGTCATACCACCGTGGGCTTGGGAGCAGGTGCTGGATTCTGACACCCAGAGTGGCTGTCCCCACCACCTCTCTTCCAGCCCCAGCACTGAGAAGAATCCCACAGCGCTTCACAGCCCGCCTGCTCCTTTGGAAACAGACAGGTGTGAGAGGAGAAACGAGAACTCCAGCGGCGGGTGCAACCAGCTGCCTGCAGCTGCAAGTCTCCTGTCTTCTGGCAGAGTCAGCTGTGGGGAGGAGAGACAAGTCAAATTTCTGAGCACTCAAAGTGTGTGTGTGTGTGTGTGTGTGTGTGTGTGTGTGTCTCCATTTTTCTCAATCCGTATAAGCTATTTTCTTTACTTGGACTATATTTCCTCCTCCTTGTCTCCTGGAAAACTCTTATTTAACCTTGAAAACCCTGTTCAGGTCTCCCCTCTTCTCTGAAATCTTTCCCAGCACTTCCCAGTGTGATGAAGCATCCTTCCTTCCTCCTGGCTAGCACCTTACAATCACCTATTTGTGCTGAGATGTCTGTCTTCCCCACTTGACAGGGAGTCCCCAGCAGGTAGGAGCTGTGTGACCTGTGCCTCTGTACCCCAGCACCAGCGCAGGGTCTGCGCACATCCAGGAGAAGCAGTGTAATGAGCTAAGGCAGCAGGCCCTGGATAAGCCAGGTCTGCATTTGAATCCCAGCTCTGGCTCTGCTAGCTTGTGACTTGGACAAGTTGTTTCAACTCTCTAAACCTCAAGTGGCCTCAATAGGAAATGGGAATAATAATGATCACATCTGATGGACCATCATGAATAAAAATTATATGAAAATTGAGAGATTAGCCCAGAACCAGGCACATTAATTGACTTTGTTTTATCACGTGAGCATCTACACTGTCACTTCTTCATTGAGAAGTTGTAATGATGCCATACAGTCTTTTCCCTCTAATCTCAGCAGCAAAATTGTCCACTTGGACACCCACATCCCACTGATCTCTGGGGTGCCGAGGAGTTCTAGCCAAACCACTCCCATCCGAGCCACTGCCAAGAAACTTGCACAGACATTATACCCGCCTATGGGCCTGACATGAAAAAAAAAAAAAAAAACCCACTCCCGTGTTCTGCAGCTCATAGAATACAAACGCGTTTCTTCTGATCCCTCTCCAGCCTCCCGATAAGCCTGTCTGCCACATCTTAATATTCCACCTGCTAAGGTGCTCAAAGTTCCCTCCGAAGTCAGGTTCCAGCCTGCTGGGCTTTGAACTTGAGACATTCTAAGCAACCAGTAGTTGGCTTCATAACTTGGGGAGACTTTAAAGGCAGCCCAGGCAGCGGTCTGCCAGCTCTCCTCCACAGAAAGTCTGGATGGGCCAGACGCTCTCCCTGAGCACCCCTCTCCAGGGATGGCTGCTGGAATCAAAGAGTTAGGGATCTCAGCAAATTCATTTGCAGCCACAACAGGGTCCTGTTAGCAGGCTGTCTTGGGGAGAGGGAGGGGGTCAGCTCACCTACGTCTCTATCAGAAGTTATGTTCTTGGCCATTTCATCATCTGCTCTGCTTGGCTTAGCACTGCCAGGGCCCCGACTGGCTTCCATCACAAGAACCATCATCTCAGAAGCATGTCAGGGACAGTCCGACTCCCCTGCCCTCTGGCTGAGGACGCACCACTGCAGTTCAAGCTTCAGTGAGTCCCTGCTGCCCCCCAGGCCTGCTGGAACCCTGCCTGCCTTCCTGAAAAGGTGGACTCACCCTCCCTCCTCTCAAGCACATGCCCCCTCCCATCTCAGAGGGGGAAAGTGTCCCCGCTCCTGTCCAACGCCAACCCTGCCATGGACTTTCCTCCCTGTCACACCTCCTCAAGGGTCTGCATGCAAAACCTCCAACACCAAACAGCTTCAAGATCCATGCAGCTAAGATTCGCCTCATGGGGGTGGGGGGGAGAGGGGAGTAGAGGATATATCTGAGAGATCTAGATCCAAGTTCCGCTCCATCACTCCTTACCAGCTTCATGCCCTTGAGCTGGTCATTTCATCTCCGCATCTCAGTCACCACATCTGCTCAGTGGAAATAATCATCCCTATGTCAAGACAGGCTGCTGCAGAATGAGATGGTGGGCCCTGGAGAGGGCTTAACACCAGGCTGGCCCTTTTATTAGCCAAGGAGGCGTCTCTGTGACAGGGGAGGGGCACTGCAGGGTACTGAATGGGCACCATTTTCCCTGCCCCCATTTACTCCCAGCTGCCTTGGACTGCAAGTCCCAGAGCCAGGAACCAGACTTCCTGAGTGGGGCTGCCGCTGGGAACTGGGTGCAGAGCTGAGTGAGCTTTAGAGCACAGAAGGCAGGCAGGCTGCTTTCTTGCTTTTTCTGGTTTCCACTTGTGCCCAGGGATTGGAAGGAGAGACACACAGAGACACCTGGAAGAGACACATAGGCAAGAGACACTAAAGAGGCTGCTCCTGGCCCTTGGCAGAGACAATGGCACAGTTGTCCTGTGGTGGAGTCTTTGGTGCATTTTAAATTCTCCATCTTTCCTTCAGTCCCAGCTCGCTAAGACCCACCCAAGCCCTTTCTGTGGTTCCTAGCTGGAAGGTACCTTGACTTGTGGCAAGTTCCAGTCTCAGTGGCCCTACTTTCAACCATTTGGTTTTGCAGACATTTGGCCATGCAGGATGTGTAATTTTGGAGATTTTATCAGAAAACTAATATCCTTTCTTCTCTCTCTCTGCACGAAATTCTACTAAAGATCTTTCACACTAAGCATCTGCTTCCTTTGCCTTTGTGTGTGCAGACAGCAAATCCCTTTCAGAGCACACATCTTTTAACAGTTAGGGGTTCTAAGTCATGTGCTAACAGTATTATAAATATTAGCTCACTACCCCTTCAGTTAATGGCCTCACTCTCTTCCCTTCACTAGCAGACTTCTTATATTTCCTGGCATCAAGCCCCCTTAGCCTTCAAACTGCCCTGTCCTTGCACCTCTCCCTAAGGGCACCAGTGACCCTTGGGGACCTAACTGAGAGGCTCCCTCCCAGCTACCTATTGAGGCATTTGTTGCTGATGCCCACCAACAGGATGGAAGAGGGAAGAAGGTGGAGAATCAATATGACAAGGTGGTGGTGACACCAGACACAAACAAGGCAGCCCAGAGACAGTACTATTTCCAAGTGGAAACTGATGGTTTTGCTTTAGAATCCCATTCATTCATCCAATTAGTATTTCTTGACTATCTGTGCTAAGTCCTGCATATTGTGGTATACCAGACTGTCCCTGCCGTTGGGGGGAGGTCCAGCCTCATGATAGGGTGTCACCAAGGCACCCATGGGACATACAGCTAGAGACATCCAAGAAGCAATTCAGAACAGAGCTGGGCTAGGGAAAGTTTTGTGATAGAAGCCCAACTTTCCTTAGTATACATTCCAGGAAGTGTCAAGAGCCGGTGAAATCAACATGAGCTTCCTCTGTGGCCCAGACTTCAACCCTGAGTGTCTCACAATGCCCTGTCCAGGCCTCCACTACATCCAGGTTCCCTCTGTAGGGCCTGGCTCCAAGGTGCTCCCTTGGAGATGGATACCTGGCCCAAAGGACAGGGGCTCTGGCCTCTTGATTACCTGCTGGCGGGGTGTCTCATGATTGCAATCACCTGATTAGGGATCCATGTTCACTGCCTTCACCCTACACATCCCTCCTCCCTCTGTACATTCCATCCCCCCACACAAACCCTCCAGGCTCCTTAGATGGGGCTCTGCTCTCCCTCTCTGTGCTGCCTCTAGTACCTGCCTTCTAGCGCCTCAGACTTATGACACACACTTGGCTCCTGTAAGCCCAACTAAGTCAACAAATCCGGAGTTAATTAAACCCTGAGCACTTGGTGCAGGGATATATCATTTGGAGGTAAATTGCATAAATGATATTATGGAATTATATTTGTGGGCTTTAATCATGTGGGTACAACTTATAATTCACTGTGGCTTTTCTGTGGTCAACAGATAATGGATATTTACATCTTTTTTATAGAATGCAGAAGCTGATATAACTAGCATAAATGATATGAAGTTTAAGGTCATGTCTCTTTCTGACATAGAATAAAACTACAATCTCCTGGCTCTTGTTCCTCGGGCAGAGAGCAATCCCTAGGTAAGATAAACACTCCAGGGTAGGAAGACCATCTTCCCTGTTGCCATCTGCTCTGTGATGCTGTTTCCTGGAATACACCATAATAGTGACTCCCTTTCCTTCAAGACCTACTCCCTTTGTGATTTTTGTCAGCCTGGATCAAAACATTTAAAAGTATGCATTTTCTTGACTCTGTAATTCTACTTCCAGAAACTTATTCTAAGGAAAATGTATGTGCAAGGGTGTTTGTGGTGCGCAGTTGAAAATAGCTGCATATAAAAATGAAAAGAACCTAGACTGAATATCCACACAGTGAGAAGCTATGCAAGTTATTTACTCAACGTCTTAGTCCAAGACTACCTTTGCAGATACTGCTTCACCGCAGGGGCTGGAACTCTGCATCCTCCACTCCCCAGACTGCAGGACCAGCTGGTTTCCCTTAGATTCCAGCCCTGGGAGGCACTGTGAGAGGATAGGGGGGCAGGGTGCGGGGGAAGGGACTTGGTTGCTGTTCTCCCTGCCAGCATCACTCCAGCAGCAGCAGCTGTTGGTTCCAGTCTCTACTTCTGCACTCACATACCGAGCCTCCTCCTACTTGTCCAAGATGCCAGCAGAGTTGGTGGCACCCCCTCTTCCAAGGTTCTGGTTCCACTGCATCTTTTCTTTTGCTCCTCTAATGCTCGGGTAGTATTTGCTTCCTACAGTTATTCTCTTTCTTGCTCTGTCAGCTCCCGAAGTCCCATGTAGCCAATCCTCTGTATTCTGTTTCCTCTGAAATACCTTAGGTGGATGGTGTCTGGTATCCTAACTGAGACCTGGCTAATATAAATGCCATTTCATGAACATCAGATGGGGAAAAAATTATAAATGTAATAATACCAAGGACTAGTTGAGATGTAAAGCAACAGGAGATTTCATACATTGCTGATGGGATTGTAAGTTTATATCATCACTTTAGAAAATGATTTTGTAGACAATACCTAGTTAAAATTAAAGATCCATATGTTCTGCAACCCTGTAACTCTGGTCCTGAGTATGAAGGCTAGAGAAACGCTTAGGATTACATAAGAAGATAGCATCATTCTATAGTTTTAGTATCAGTAAGAAATGAGTAGTATATTCATTTTAATGAAATATTA